ACTTATTAAGTTCTTTATCTTTTATACAAACTGAGGTGTACTAGACATACTGTTTTCCCCCCTTGTACATTGTTTTATATCTTAAAAAAGGAATTGTCAGCAGAATAAAAAGGATTTGAGAATTTATAATGATAATAATGTCATTAACATTTATTGAGCAATTACTATGTGCCAGGTACTGTGCTGTGTGCTTTGTGTATATACTCATTAATCTCTACAGTTGCCCAGCAGAGGTTCATAGATTGCTCATGGTGCAAGGGGTTTATTGTCTAGAGACATTTTCAAGCGTAGGTAGGTGACTATCTGTCCCCAGTGTTGTGGAGAAGATTCCTACTTTGTCCTTTCCAAGTGTGAACACTTAGGATTCCACCAGTTAATGGTTGAGTGCAGAGTTGCGTGTTTGGAGTGTTCAGCAATGTTTGTCAGGGACCAATAGAAACTTGAGCTTCTCTTTTGCTTCTGGGTGGTGATTGGTGCAGATTAGAAGTGCTGAAGGGAGTTGCTACATGCTGCTCTGTTGAATTAGATCAAGTTCAGAGTGACCTTGCTGTTTCTTGTAGACAGAGGGTGTGGCCATGGTTAAATCAAGTTACAGAGCAAACTGGAGGTCTGTAGAGGAGACGCTCTTTTTTTCATTTTATTGTTTGAGAACTTTAAGGCTTCCTCATGTTACAAATTTGCACCCAACCTTTTAACCTTTTCTTTAGCTACAATGAAGACAAGTTTCAAATAACAAGTTTAGGTCATCCAGATGTCTTGTAATACGGTTGGTATGACAGTGCTAAATCAATGCTCACTGAGAAATGATTTTATCAGAGATGTTATTCTTTGTTAATTTAATGAATTTCTATATTAATTCATCAGTGATTTATTTGTCAGGAACCATTCTAAATGCTTGAAAAATAACCATTCATCTTTGGAGAGGAAATCACATAAAGATATTAATGCTATGATGGAGATAGGAGATAAATGGGGCAACACAGAGGAAGAGTGACTTTTAGGGATGGTGGTGTCACAGTGGCAGGCATGGTTCACCTGGGCTTTTAAGGAAGAATAGGATTTTACTAAGCAAACAATAGAAGAAAGTTATTCTTTTCAGGGAGGTGATGTGCTTTGTGGCTTGGAGTTGTGAAAAAGAGTGGCACCCTGCACTTGTAGTGGGGGAGCAGTCATAGCTTCAACAATGTGGTGGGTTGTGTTTGTGCTGGAGCAATGTGTAATTTTGTGTGGAAGCAGAGTGGTGGGAAGTGACGTTGTGTAACCAAGAAGCTGGAAATTAAGGAAGAGGGAATCCTATGTAGAAACTAGGCTGGGAATTTTTTTTTTAATACACCTTGACTCACAATTTTAAATGATGGAGTTTAGTAATTAACTTGAGAGGTTCTCCGGGGGTAAGTAAAAGTGGCTTGCAACAGTTGGATAGAAAATTGCCCTTTTTTTGTCTGAACAGAAGTAAGAAGGCCAACTCGGAATGTGAGGTGGCGGCCCCTAACATCTGGATTAGCAAGAAGTTTCTGCAGCTGTAATCCCAGTGTCAGTCTTCACACACAGGCGAGGGAGGGTTTTTTGTTTTTGTTTTTTTTTGTCAGCCACATCCGCACACAGGAGATAGTGATTGCCATCTGTGACATCTTTAAGTATAAACCGAGCTTCCTGTCAAGACCTCAGAGGTACTCGTTCGGTGAGCCCGGCCGCGGTGCTCTGTGACTCTCATCCGCAGAGATTCACTCAAGCTGTGTCAGGGTCTGTGAGTGGCCTAAGCACCTTCTTCCTGCCCAGGGCCCTACATACCTGCAGGGCAAGGGTCACGCCCGAGGATCCTCCCTAGGTGCCTTAAATGCTGGCTGAATGCATTCCAGTCGCAAGCCATCCTGGAAAACTGAATAGTTTGACCTTGGGTTTTGCCCCTGACCACACTCACCCTCCTTGTCCAGGCTGGCATTAATCGGCCCTAACGTTGCCTCCGTTAGAAAAGACATTTAGCTGGAAACTAGTATGCTGAGTTCCATAGTTTTCAAGGTGTAGACTTTTTTCTGGAGGGCTTGCCTCTTTGGCAGACTTTGTAGGGCCCTCCTGTGCTCTCTGCTTTAAAGCGAAGGGCACCCCTCACCACATGCTTCTCCAGCAGAACATCCAACCTGTGCCTCGTATCAAATATCTCCATTCCTTTGCCCATTCCCTTAGGCTCTCACTCTCTGATGCTGGATAATTGCCAAATTTATCTGTGCCAAGGTGCTGGAGTCTAGAAATTCAGCTTGAAATTTTACAGGGACTTGGTGGAAACACGGAATTGGCCCCAAAGAGAGAGAGCATTCTGGGACTTCGGGCCTTTTTTTTTTTTTAATCAGGTCACCATTTGGACCTGGGTTTAGAATTCCATTATCAGCTCAGAGTAACTCAATCTGTCTCTAAATATCTTCCATTTTATAGGCTCTTCAAGGGACAAACAGAGAGATGATGAACAATTCCGTGAAGCCAGATAGAAATTGAGGGTAGTAAAAATGAATTCTTCTCCTCCCATCACTGGCTGAAAGTTTATTTAAACACACACACACACACACACACACACACACACACACACACACACACGCTCATACACACCTAGCAGGAGACTAACTGTGAATGAAATAAAAGACATCAAGAGAATTTTCTTAATTAGCTTAAATACTGATCATTACCATCAGAAAATGAGTCAGCCTAAAACACATCTAATTGCTCTCTTCCTGCGTTGTGGGAAGCCTCGAGATTGAAGAACTGTATTAGAGAGGGAAGTATATTACAGAGAGAAGGGAAGGACAGGCCATGGTGAGATCTGTAATAATGAAGAGATGGTTTTGCCATCACTGATCACGGCATAGGTCGTTTGCATGAGTGAATGCGAGGCATTTGGTCCCAGGGGACCGGTGGTCCTCACCACACAGCCAGTACACGACTGGTAAGCACCATATTATTACTCCTGTTTGATGAATGCAAAACTGAGGAACTGGAAATTATAATCATTAGAATTAAGTGAATCATTGAAGATTAAGGCTGACTCCAGGCAAAATTGTCAGAGAGACCTTGGTGCCCTGTTTCTTTTGCTGTGCTCTTCTTTCTCCCTCTCTGATGCTTCTTTCTTTCTTTTTTTATTGAAGATTTACAATGTTGTGTTAATTTCTGGTGTACATAATAGTGATTCAGTTTTATATATATCTATACCTTTTCATATTTTTTTCATTATAAGTTTTTATCAGATATAGAATATACTTCCCTGTACTATACAGTAGGACCTTGTTGTTTATCTATTTTATATATATTAGTATCTGTAAATGCTGAACTCCCAATTTATCCCTCCACCCTTCTCTTTCCCCTCTGGTAACCAGAAGTTTTTTTCTATGTCTGTGAATTTGTTTCTGTTTTCTAAATAAGTTTATTTCTGTCATATTTTAGATTTCATGTATAAGTGATATCACATGGTATTTTTCTTTCTCTTTCTGGCTTACTTCACTTATCATGATGATCTCCAGGTCCATCCATGTTGCTGCAAATGACATTGTTTTATTTTTTTAATGGCTGAATAGTATTATATTGTGTGTGTGTGTGTGTGTGTGTGTGTGAGTGTGTGTGTGTGTAATGCATACCACAATTTCTTTATCCAGTCATCTGTAGATGGACATTTAGGTTGTTTTCTTGTCCTTGGCTGTAGTAAATAGTGTTGCTATGAACACTGGAGTGCATGTATCTTTTCAAATTAGAGTTTCCTCTGGATATATCTGGATGCTTCTGATTGCACAATTCTCTTGTTAAAACTTTCTTTTTGGGAAAAGCTCTGTTATTAGATATTTATACCTCTGTGTGAATGTTAATAATCATCCTCCCTCTAAAGAGCACATGACTGTTAATTTTTATCCCTAATTATGATATGTAAAAAATTTGAAGGGATTACCCCAAACCCTAAACTCCTAAAGAAATGACAGGCATCAGTAATTAGTGTGAATCTGATAAAAGAGAAAGGAAGATGGGAATAAAATCTTCCGTAGTATCCCCCAAAACCCATTGCAGGCATGCTCTGAGTAAGGTGAAATATCTGAGAACAAGGGAAGTAGCAGGGAACAATTGAGGTTCTTCTGATGATGCACGTGTAGAAGGCTGATTTGCTAACTAAACCGGAAGAAATCTTTTCATGGAGTATATATTGTGAGAAGTTACTTGAGAACCATGTGACGCCTGGGTTGGGGACTATTGATTAGTAGAATTCATGTCTTAGGTTCACTCAAAATGCAGTTAATTAACAAAACTAACTTGTATGTCATCACACATTAAAATATTTCTAATTATTTGGCCTTTGTAGGAATTCTTAATCTTATTAATGCCATGAACTTTTGGGCAATCTTGTGAAGTCTCTGAGTCCCTTTGCAATATTCCTATTTTTAATGCATAGAATTAAACACTTAAAATTCAAAGGAAGCCAACGCTGTTGAAAGACATATATCCAGTTTTTGAAAATTTGTGATATATGCTTTATTAATGCATTAAAAACAAGACAGAGTGCAAAGACTTAATGACTACATAACTTCATAGTAGTGATGAGCACAAATAATATTTCAATGTATCTGCAACAACTGTATTCTGATATGAAAATATTTGAGATTTCTAATGGAGATGAAGTTTTTCCCCTGCAGTCATAGGGGGAAGGGAAGTAAGGTAACTTGTAAATTCAGTCTTGCTCTAAGGTACTAGTTCTAGGTAATTTGCTAACCAAAACTGAGTATAATCTTTTAGTTCAAAAAGAATTTGAGAAGGAAAATACATTGGAAAATGTGTTCCATTTTATGCATAGCCAAATCAAACCATAAATCTCGCTGTCTAGAATTTCAAGTCTATAAAATTCAAACAAGTTCTTAGAAATTTGTTGTCAAAATTCCAGTGGAATACAATACATTTTAGAATTTGTAATGCAGGCCTTTCTGTTTTATGGTAAAACTGAGATTTTAGTTGCATTCTCATCTCCTCCCATGCAGAACTGAGAGAGGATGACCCGCAGAGGAGCCTTGCGTGAGCCGTGCTGTAGATGACAAGACCCCATCTGCTCATGAGCCTGATCTACTGCCTCACCCGAGGGTCAGAAACAAAGCAGATGCTGGACACAGTGGTCAATTTCAGGCGCTTTGCTGATCTATCTAAAATGAGTTAATTGAGAAGAACCTTCATGTGGTTTCCCTAGTGAGAACTTTCTTGAATTTTGGCTTTTTAAGCTGTCAAGGAGTTACTGGCTTTGGCAATTTTTATTATTAAATCTTCCAGACACCTAATCACTAATCATCAGATATAGAATCCTCTAAAACTTATATAATGAAACTTGTTTGAATTTCTGTTTCCAGATTTCGGAAGCTACAATCATGGTCATTTAAGAAGTAGGATCCAGTGTATTACTATTACCGATGGGTGGCTGCATAGAAGTTTACAGGCCTGGGAAAAGCCAGGTAATGAGGATGTTCCATAAAGAGGCACCATATTTCACTAGGGAGAAATTAATCCAAGTTGCCTCACAAATGTTAAGAATATACCTGTTAGATCACATGGTATATTTTCCATGATCTTTGCTTTTTTTTTCAGTATTTATTTGTTTATTTTTTATTGAAGTATAGATGATTCATAATGTGTTAGTTTCTGATATATAGCATGTAATTCAGTTATACATATATATGTTCTTTTTCATTATAGATTATTACAAGCTATTGAAAATCATTCCTTGTGCTATACAATAGGAACTTATTATTTATCTGTTTTGTATGCAGTAGTGTGTATCTACAAATCCCAAAGTCCTGATTTATCCTTCCCAACCCACCTTTTCCCCTTTGGTAATGATAAATTTGTTTTCTATGTCTGTGAGTCTGTTTCTCTTTTATAAATAAGTTCATTTGTGTCATATTTTAGATTTCACATATAAGTAATATATGATATTTGTCTTTCTATGACTTACTTTACTTAATATGATAATCTCTAGGTCCATCTATGTTGCTGCAAATGGCATTATTTTATTCTTTTCTGAGGCTGAGTAGTATTCCATAGTAGATATGCCACAGTTTCTTTATCCACTCATCTGTTGATGGACATTTAGATTGTTTCCATGTCTTGGCTATCGTAAATGGTGCTGCTATGAACAATGGGGTGCATGTGTGTTTTCAAAAGAGTTTTCTCTGGATATATGCACAGGAATGAGATTAGTTTTTTAAGGAAAATTCATACTGTTTTCCATTGTGGCTGCATCCATGGTCTCTGCTTTACTAATTTAATGTGCATTTTGATTAAAAAGATACATTGTACATTTTATTACATGTATGTTTTCCAATAAATACAAACCTGGAATGCTTTTTTTCTCTTTTCCATTCTTCTCAGAAGTGTGATGATCATCAAGTAAGAGAATAATTTTGAAATGCTTACATCTTAGTCCATTTAGGCTGCTATAGACTGGGTAGCTTATGAACAACACACATCTGTTTCTCATGACTCTGGAGGCTGGATATCCAAGATCAGGGTGCCAGAGAGGTAGGGTAAGGATCCTCTTCTGGGTCACAGACTTATATCCTCACATGGTAGAAGGGGCTTGGGAGTTCTCCAAGGCCTTTTTCATAAGGCACTAATCACCTCCAAAAGGCTCCACCTCCCAACACTCTCACCTTTGGAGGTTAAACTTGGACATATTGAGACAGGAGGGAAGAGGGCCGGGCACAACCATTGAAGGAATGACACAGCAGCTGAGGACAGGACAAACTGGTTAGAACCAAGATGGCTGAAGATTTGACTTCCAATACACTTTGAGCCTCATGGCACACCCACAGGAGCCATGACGGTTCCTAGGCTGACCATAAAAGGTCAAAAAGTGGGCAGGAGACTGATTCCTGGAAATCCCTGCCTTTTCTTCAGAGTAGTTGGATTAATCCTCCCACTTGTTAGCATATGAAATTATCAAGCCCATAAAAGCTAACAACTCAGCACCTCATGGTCACCCTCGCTCTCTTGCCTTCTGAGACGGCCAGCACTGTGTTTATGGAAAGTGTATCTACTTTTACTTTAAACTAAACACCTCCCACACCCTCAGTCTCTCTCCCTCTCACCTTTTGAGGTGGCCCTTCATTCTGTCTATGGAGTGTGTATCTCCCTGAATAAACTTACTTTCACTTTACTATGCCTCCCTCTTGAATTCTTTCTTGTGATGGACAAGAACCTATTCTCTGGCAACAATGTGAATTTTGGGGTGTCACACTGCGATATTGTGATTTATAAGAAATATGTGTTTGGTCATTCAGATGACTTAAAATATATTTCTCATATATATTTGATCTTTGTCCTCAGTTCCTGTCTCACAGATTCCCAAACCCTAGGAATTTCCTAAGTGTTGAGAGTGCTGAAAAGTGTCTTTTGTTATGTTAATGAGATGCCATTTGGAAAGCACCTAAGGATGGGGGCCAGTTGCCAGAAGAACCAGGAGAATCTAGGTTGGAACTTTCAGTGTCTCTCTACTTTAACGTCCCCGCCCCCAAATTTCCAGGTTGGTGAACACATGGAGATTCAAGGAGAGTGGCGTGCCTGGAGAGCGCATGGAAACCTGGAGCTCTTTTTCCATATCTCACCCAGTGTATCTCTTCTGTCTGGCTGTTCCTGAATTATATTCTTTCATAATAATGAACCAGTAATCTAGTAAGTAAAATGTTTCTCTGGGTTCTGTGAGCTGCTCAAGCGAATTAATTAAACCTGAGGAGGGAGTCTTGGGAAACTCTGATTTATGGCCTGTCAGTCAGAAGCATAGGTGGCAACTTGGACTTGTGTCTGAAGTGTGAGGGGTGGGAGGAGAGAGGCCAGTCTTCTCTACACGTTAAACTGACGCAGTGCTGTATGTCAATTGTATCTCAATAAAACTGGAAGAAAAAAAATTTAAGGTTAAATAGGTATTTTTCTCTTTTCTAGTTTAGCTTTTCTAATTCTTTCCCCTCCACTAAAGAACTGCGGTTTAGCTCTTGCTAAAAGGAACTTTAAAATTGCAGGTTGTAAGCACAGGGAACTAGATTTAATATCTTGTTAATACCTATAATGGAAAAGAATCTGAAAAAGAAGATATATATAACATATATATAATATATATAGTTGCATCCACACATATATATATGTGTGTATATATGTGTGTGTGTGTGTATATATATATATATAACTGAATCATTTTGCTGTACACCTGAAACTAACACCACATTGTAAATTAATTATACTTCCAAAAAACGGTTAAACAAAACAGAATAAAATTGCAGGTTGTAAAATTGGTCTGGTCAGGATTTCCAATTTAAATGGCCATCAAACATAATAGGAGGTATAATTTCTTTGCAGAGCACAAATGAGGTGTAATTGTGCATTTGGAATAAAGTAGACAACAAAAAAATACCACTGGTCACTGGTGACATCTATATTGCCAAAGGCAGTGGGCACTTCTCTATCTTTATCCCCCCCGATTTCTCAGCAATGATCAATCAGATGAACACTCTTCACTTCTGGAAACCTTCACCTCTGTTAGCTTCATTTGACCTAACCACTGCGAAAATTCATTCCGCTGTAATGTTTTCACAATATTTAAAGCAGAAGCACATCAGTTAGGATTTCCTTCTGCATAAGGTTTTTTGTAGTGTAATGTCTTAATCATAGTCTACCACCAAATATTTCAGGAGTATCCTTAATGTTTAGATAGTATATTAGCAGCATGCAGTAATTACATCATAAGTTCTCAAGCAGAGGCCATCTATTGCAAGGACCTTCTTTGCTGCCAGTTATAGGCTGTTTTAAGTTAGAAAACTGAATAGCAACACTGAATACTGTAGAAATGCACTTTGCTCAGTAATACTTGAGTTGTTGCAATATTTGATTATCCATTTGGTTGTTACAGAAAAATTCTTAACCGTAATTGATGGTTGTTGCCGTAATAGTATATTGCCTGTATTTCTACCTCTAGTAATGGGCTTTATGTGCTAGATTTTAATATCCTTGAGCCTGGGCAAGTGCACAAGTCTTTTTAAAAGAAACATGGTTTACTTGCACAAAACTGATCAGTTTTGAGAGGTCGTAAATGCTCTTGAAGTGGTTTTTGTGAGTGTGAAACAAATGGTGAGAATTTGAATTGGTCCCTCTTAATAGAGTATTGAAATTAAGTCTACTTAATTTATCAAGTCATGTTCATGCCCTGATTTTATATGCTTGTATCTATCAATAAACATTGTGATACTTGAAAAAAAAAAGACTAAAAAAAGACTAAAAAACCATTTGGTGGGCTGGATACAGCCCACGGAGGCATAATTTGCCAACTGTGAAGTCTAGATTTTTAAGCATAGAAGGGGCCTAAGTGTTTACCACTTCCTGTTCCTCAGATGATCAGCCACAGATGGGGACAAGAACTGTAGGAAGGGAGGAGTCGGGGTGGGATGTGTGTATGCGGGCTGGGTGGTGGACGGGGGGCAGAACCGGGCTTCCCGTTTACTGGAGTCTAGTCTCCAGAGCCCAATCCAGAATTTCTGTTGACAAAGAACCCAAGGTAGAAATAAACGAGGAGGAAGAGGGCTTCACAGCAAGACAAGAGCTTTCTCTCTGACCACCAAAAGGAAAATCGGACAAAACAGGATTAAGTGGTGACTCTGAGTTTCCAGCTTCGCTCTGGGGATGCTGACATGTAGGAATGTTCCCGTATACGGCCAAGGAAGGGGGACCCCCATTTTATGAAAGACCTGCAGGCGGGGAGAATTGGGTGGAATTCAGTGGTCAAATCCACATGCCCTTCAAGGAAGACAAGGTCAAGTCTTCCTGGTGAACCGTCACCCTGTGGACTGGTCCATTTGGGAAGCCTAGGTATGGGAGGGTTTGCTGAAAGCAAGGCAGAGACACATTCTCCTGTTTTCCTTCTCCCTTCCTGCCTCTCCTTCATGAGTCTCTTGAGGGTCTTGAAGTTTAGTTCCAGGTACCTTTCTTTTTTTATTTCTGCCATCTCTAAGGGATGTCTTCCCTTTCCAATCTTTAAATAAACTCTATATGTTTATTCGAGGACTCCATTTTGATCTCTCTCTTGATCTTATTCCCCACATTTCTTAAAGCTTTAGAAATTGAATTATTCTGAGAAGTAAAGC